ATTCTTGACTTAGAGTTTGTTAGTAGTTACAAGTTTTGAAAGCTTATTTCTAATATTTAAGAAATGCCAAATTTTAAATTCTTCTTTTTAGTTCTTGAATTTATTAATAGTTTCAAGCTTTTTTGTTTGTTTGTTTATTTCTAACAATTAAGAAGTGCAAAATTTTGAATCCTTTGCAAATCAAGCTATAATGATAAAAGTAAGTATCACTATTTTCAATAAGTATATTACAATATTTCTATATGAATGTATATCCTTCTATAAGAATGCATGTATATAGTTGCAAAATCAATAGCAATCATTTACAACATTCATTTATAAAGGCAATTATGTGAAAATAATATATTGTCTGCTATATGCCATAAATTAAAGAAAACAGTAGATTTTTTTGACTGTATTTACCACTGTCATGTCAAAAACCCAACCCTGATTATTATGCACATTTAAAAAAAATGAAAATTTTATTTAGAATATTATTTAGAATTTTATTTAGAATGAAAATATAAAATGTGACTGATGTTACATAGAAAGGAGATGGAATAAAACACATGTTTATTTTGAAAATATTTTTCTTCTATTACTGATGCTGAATAAAATAAATAATAACTAGACAAAAAAGTTTGATTTAGATACAGCAGTTGATTTAGCATTTAAAGTAATATCTTGGAAAATGCTAACTCAATTTTTTTCAAAAAAAATTTTTTATAAAATTTTTACATACTTTTAAAAAGGCACTCAATAGGTTAAAAAAAAAAGAACTTTTTGTACCAGTTAAATAGGTATCTATTTATTGATATACACTAAACCGAAATTGAGCATCAGCAGAACAGTATCCAATGTAAGGGGGGAGGAAATGATAATTATCCTGAAGCTCAGGTCAGCTGAGGGTCCAGTTAAAATTCTTTACAAAAAACATCTGCAGAATATTTACTTCATATGCTAGAGTACTACACATTTAATCTTATTATGATTTAAATAAATAATAATATAAGTCAATATACATTAAATTTTCAGCAAAAGATATAAACTAATGAAATCATTTAAAATCATAAATTTTGTATGCTCGATAAAATTATTGAAACATGTTAATCAAAAAATGAAAACTACAAACTAAGATAAGTAAAAATCATCAAGCACAGAGTGTTTTTTTTTTAAACAATCAATAAACAATCAGTACTTTTTATGCTTTTAAATTATTCATTTCTGTAAATAATAAAGTGTTGTTTCATAGGTACCAAAAAATATCTACACAATAAAATAAATATAATACAGTACAGAACCCGCTATCCGGAAATCAGAAAACCGGAACGAAATTCAATAAATTTTCCCGCCATTTTATTAAAAAAATGTTTTCTTCCTCATAAGATTTTATGATTTCTCTTTCTTTTTTAAAAGATGTTTACCTTACCATCATTTTGGAAAATCAGAAAACCGGAACGAAATTCAATAAATTTTCCCGCCATTTTATTAAAAAAATGTTTTCTTCCTCATAAGATTTTATGATTTTTCTTTCTTTTTTAAAAGATGTTTACCTTACCATCATTTTGGAAATAATCATTATTGTATTACTTCACCGTTTTTTCTTCTTTTTAAGATTATTTCCAAATATTTATTTTTTTTAGTTGGGTTTAACAATAAAAAAGACGGCTTTTTGTGGTGATTCAGAAAACCGTAAAAATCAGTTATCCGGAATAGCGATGGCCCCGTTCGTTCTGGATAATCGGTTCCCTACTGTATAATAAAGCAAGCATTTTTTTGTTGGTTTTTTTTTCTTTACCATTAGACCAAAAATAGTTAACTGAATATCTCCTTCTAAAAAGATTATTTAGCACTTTTTTATGCTTAATATGATTTTTCATTTATTTTACAATTCATGATGATGAAATTCTTTAGTACATTTTAGAGCTTTTTATCGTTGTAACCGAATTTTTTGGCCACAAATGTCTTCAGAAACTTTAGTAAGGAAAAAACCAAAAAAATATTTACCTTCTTGTAGTACTCTTTATAACTATATGGGTTTCAGCATTAGCCTTTTCCTGTAAGGAAAACAATAATTATTAAAAAAATATATTTAAATGTGTACATTTTTAATTTCTAAATCAAATCTTTACTAACAACTACAACATTATGAAAATTGAATGGTTGAGTATTAAAGAAAGGAAGGTTGAGTATTTTGTTTTTAATAAAATAAATAAATTACATAATTTCCGAGCTGAAATCTGCTGTATTTTGTAAGATATTATTGATATTAAATAATTCTGGTGAGTTTGAAGTGAAAATATGTTTTAGTTGTTTGAAATTAAAATAAAAAGCTTGTAGTGCACCCTAGTATCGAAAACACCTTTCATAAGTCAGAATTATGTTTTTATGCAAGGGTAAAGTACACATACACTAGCGTAAAAAAGTCTTCGGTCAAATTCAATGCTATGGATGGTTGCTCGGAAATGTAATAAATAAGGTATAATTTTATTCCTAAACATTCTTAATATGCTTATCAGCCAGAAACCAAAGTGTTATCGCTTTGAAAGTCACTTTAAATAAAATGCAATTTTCATATCAGTCAGGTATTTGTTTTTCATGAAGCGATTTTCTTACATCTAAAAATTGGATGAAAATACAATTGAAAGATACAATTTTAACAAATAAGCATACGTTTTGCATATTTATTTACGGAAATGGTGATTTTAACTTTAATTTATTACTGACATTTATTTTTAAAGAATTAGTTTTTACTAAACTTGAATTATATAAAAAACGAAATATTCAAATGAACTGAGGGGAAAGATTTATATTTAATTCAAAGATTACATTTTCCATTAAATTGCAAAAAAAGTAAAATTCTGAAATCAAGTGTAATATATATGTTGGCTGGACTAAGTAAAACAGAAATCATCGCTACAAAAAAAAAACGTATAGAAAGGTTAAAATTCCTTTCATGCATTGACCAAAAACTTTTGCATGCTAGTGTATCTGTATTTGTGCTACATCCCTCATGAAGTGAAAAAATGAGAGAACACTTTAAAAGCTTATTAGCATAACCATGGTGAATAAAAATAAATTAAAGACTAGTTTATAGAATAGAGGATTTACAGATAAGCTATTTTGCTATCAAATCCTTGTGGCAACACAGCAATATTGTGGCAGAACGGTACAGAGTTTTTGCAGAAAGATTCCACCATTGGGAAAAATTATTTGGGGGTTTTCTTTCCTGCCATGTAGTGCTCTTATCTTTTTTTTTGACAGTTATTGCGACACATTTTCATATTTTAAAATAAAATAAAAAAATCCGGTGCTTTTTTTATACAATTTTGTTACACACAAAACTCAAATCACTTATTTGATTGTTTCTTTTAATGGAGCGATCATTTTTTCGCATATTTTTTTTTATTGCTAGTGCTACTAAATTCCACAAGGTTTTTTAAATTCCAATTATTTCTCGGATGTATTCCTCTGTCCTTCTACACATGAAATTTGAATTAATTTATGCCGATAATATTGTAAATTTATATAGTTCTTTGATTATATTTTCAGCAATTTACATGTAACCACTCTCGACCAAACATCAACATGTTTTTTTTTTCTTTAAATTTGCAAGTTTAAAATCTGCTAGGCACCGTGGTAATTGTAATTGTTGGATCACAATATGGAAATATCCCTCCTTCAAGGTGCCAAATAGTTTTAAAATTAGCATTTTTTTTTTAAGAAAACATGTTCTCCTGGGGATGGCTAGGAGTTATACATTTCGAAATGGTACCTTTCGGTTATGCAGTTTCTAGTTTTACGCAGGCCGCTGCTCAGAAAATGCCAAGACTTGGCGATTTTTCTGCTACAGATCTCGATAAGGAAATCTCCCTGAGAAAATATTTAACAATGAAAAGTTGAAAAAGCAATTCCAAAAGATTTTTTTGGACTGAGTCGTCTTTCAAAATCTGGTAAACAAAAAATTTTTGAAAGGCATATTTTCGTGATTTTACTTATTCATAGTTTTATTACTCATTCTTAGTTGACTATGGATTTACAGGCTTGTTGTAAGATTACAAATCATACAGAATATATGCTTTTCCAATAAAAATATGGTAGCTGACGATAGGATTTTACTAAATATACTAAAGCAATGATTGTTTAAAGAAACTGTTAATATAAAACAGTCCAGTAATGAAACTGTATTGATAATGAATGAAATTGAGATTCAGAATATTGTACCTGAGCAGAATCATCTACTACATTAACTTCCCCTATATTTTCTAACATATCTTTAAAAATTTCTCAATAATATACTGTAACATCACTATTGAAATAAAATAAATATTTTGACAAGATTGAATTAAAATTATTACGAAACATGAGTATTTGTTTTTGTTTTCACCTGTTTTTACTTTACAAACATAAGAAATCACGGATACAGTTAATAAATAGCACAAAAGGCTCAGGAATGATTAAAATAGTGATGTAGAAAATAAAAGGAGCATTCACACTACTAGAGAATTAACACGCAGAAACAATGTTATAAAACTACACATGTTGTTGTTGTTAATTTACGACGTCGCCCTAGGGCTGCACAATGGGCTATTGGCGATGATCTGGGAAACATCTCTGAGGATGAACCGAAGACATGCCATCACAATTTTGATCCTCTACAGAGAGGGTGGCATCCCCGCTTCGGTANAAAACAAAACCGAAAGTTTACTCAACTGTTCCTTGGCGCTAAAGTATCTCGCCAAGGAAGCCAACAAAGCTTTGCAGCTATTTCAGCTAAAAATAGAATATATATTGAAATATACTTAAACATTATAAGTTTAAAGTTTAAGAAACAATAAAAACTTATGTTAAATGCAAAAAAAGTGAGCAAAAACGAGCGTAATTGATTATTAAAGCAAATAAAACATGATTATCAGAGCATGACTGAGTATCGGAAAAATTTTAAAATCAATTTTAAAATAGAAAAAGTGAAAAAAAATGTCGCCCTTTCTTGTAAAAAGTTATCGGACAGTCCCTAGAAAACTTCTCCGTGCAGCAAAATGCTCAGGACTTTTGTACCATTCTTATTTCTGAATTAAAAAGACAGACAGTTAATTGCATCAGACGATCGCAATGCTAAACGAATGGACGGGAATCGAAGCGGTCTCAGTGAACGGCAAGTTTGGGCTACAGTCACGTGACTTTATCTTGTCCACGGGTCGGGGGTCATTCTACTCTCTCTACCCAGTATTTCAACTCTATGGTCCCAACGCAGACTGATCCAAGTGGTCACCCACCCGCACACTGACCGCAGTCAGTGACGCTTGACTTCGATGATCTACTGGGAACCGTGTCTTAACGATCAGTCCACTGCGCAGTGGACTGATCGTTAAGACACGGTCCCGCGTGGGACAAAGAACTATACATATGTGTAGTTTTTTTATATAAACGCCTCCACTCCCCACGCATTAATAACAGTACAGGTAAATACCTATAAATTTTATAAGATGCAAAAATATTTATGGGAAAACAATACCTTTATTACTTATATCAATTTTATGCTGATAACAACCAAACGAGTATGAAAATCAATGTGGGAAAACTGGATCCTACTATGTGATTTTTCAGCCAATTAAAATGTACCGACAACAATGGAAAATTGTGACATCATTAGATTTTTATATATAGTTAGATTATGAAATATGGTATTTTTTTAAGTTGCCTGGAAATTTATTCGTGATGGGATGTCTGCAAGTGACGTAGTGTGGGTATCTCCCTCCTGATTGGTTGCTGAAACGTGATATTTGTTTACATTAGCAACTGTTTTTTCCATTTTATTTCGAGTAAACCAGGCCCTATCTAGTATCGATTCTCTTAAGTGACACATTCTGAATTCTTTCACGAAGATTCATTCTCAAAGATTTCAATTCTTTCACAACATATTTACATAGAGATTTAACACAAAGACAGGCACGAAGCCATGTGGAACATAAGCAAACTAATTATGCTTCTAAGTTGCCAGGTACTCGGAACAAAAATCCACCGCACAATCCGTCACAATAAAATGCATCAACAAATAATGAATCTTAGTTTAGTAAAAAAAGTAGACGTGAAAGAATTATATTTCAACTTGGACTGGGCGATATTAGAAATTATATATCGTGATGCATCGTCAGTTTTGCATCGCGATATAGCGATGTATCGCGATATAGTATTTTTGAATTTCATTTACTTGTGAGGCACAGAAAGTCAGATTTCTATCAAAACTTCTTGCTCAGATTGATTTAAATCAATTTATAAATTTGAAGATATATATGTTTTGCTTAAGAAAGATATTAAATAAATTGACTACAATGTACAAATCTGACTTAAAATATTTATTGAAATGTTTGTTTAGAAATTCATAATACGCGTAAGACAAAGTGTTAAAAAAATTTTTAAAGCGTTTTTTACAAATTAATATTTTCTTGTACTATTGGCGATCGCAACNTCTTATATCGCTATATCGTTATCTTACATCCTTGCGTGTCTTATATCGCTATATCGTTTTGCGCTCGTTGTCTTTACTTGACGGCTTAAATCAGATTTCTGATGCATCGCCTTGAATGAAAGTCGCTGTATCGTCTTGCCGATATATGCGTTAAATCGATATGTTTCAATACATCGATTTATAGCCAAGTCCTAATTTCAACTAATTCGATGTGAAATACGGCTCTGTATTTAATTAATTTTGTTGTTAATTAACATTCTAACTTATGTAGAGAAACTTAGCTCAATTTTAATTCGCTATTTCGCTTATTAAGATCAGCTGGCGATGATGTCATAGGTCACATGCGTGAGTATGGGAGTTCTTCTTGAAGTGCAAGTACCCAATTTAGAAGAAAGATTCGAATAAACCATATTCAACGAATGTTGAGTTGTACACAAGCATGTTTCCGATAGAATGTGATTAAATATCTGATTTTTTTTAATTTTAGTTATTTCATAGAATAATTTATACAATTTCAATGCTATACGTACTTATGTATTGATTTGGAATAACATATTTATCAATATACATCTTAGAATTATCAAGCAAAATTACAACTTAAATGAAGATCAAAGTTTTACATAAGAAACCTTACCTTTTGAATAAAATATCAACGATAATTATATAAAATCGTGTATTGATCTTTCATGTTGCTGCAAAAATGATAGAGTTGCCGAATGCGTAGTTAATATTTTCAAATTTCTTAACATGTTATTATCGTCTTCAATGTCTTAATCTTAAAATAAATTTTTTAATTACTTGCCGCGGAGTATTATCTCACTCAACTATTTATCAACATTTTTATTATATTTTTTCATTTTTCAAAAGTTTATTCTTTACTCAGCCACGTAGATTATTTTTTTAATAATATACTAATAAATTTTTTTGTATTTTAATTTAGTTCTTCCTTTAAATTAAACTATCGTTTTTAAATTATTCTCAAGTTCTTAATGAAAGAAAGCTTAGAATTGTTGATAATTAAACTTGTTTGAAATATAAAAAAAAAATCTTCTGCTTTAAAAATACTCCATGCTATTTTCTTAGCATACTATTTTTTTTGCAAAATGAAGATAAATTATTGCCCGTTTTTTCATTGTTTCTTAATTATTCGTGTAATAAAAATTAAATGCTTTGTGCAACGTAAAAAATACAGCAGGCTGTGTTGTTTTTTATTAGAACAAAAAACTCTGGAATTACTATTTCGTTTTGACGTTCAAACTTATTCTCTCACTCTAACTTTAAGAAATTTATCCTTTTAGAAAATATAATGGTGGAAAAAGTTGCTTAAAATATTATTTATCATCATTAGTACGATTCACAAAATATTGTTTTACCAGAAAAATGATCAATATGCCTTATTTTGTTAAAAAGCGAACACTAAAAATATGAAATTGTAAGAAGATTCCAAAACCGTGCTGTTTTTAGAATCACCATATAAAAAAAAATTTTTCTTCTAAACTTATTTCTAAAATAAAAAATTTTAAGACATTTTTGAACTACAACTATATTTGGAGTTGTAATTTATATGTTCAGCAAATAGTTTCAGCATAATTTCTATCTTTCCAGAAATTATAAATATAAATTTTTCTTATAATTTGCCATAAGGGGAAACAAGGATGTTAAGATTTCATTGTTCAATTAAACCGTGTCAATAATTTCATTAACCCCAGAATTGAAATCTGTTGCCGAAGAACATTTTTTTTTGTTGCTTGAAACAGTTAAGAGACAAATAAACTACCATTTATTTAAACTTTATTTTGATGAAATCGGCAGGAAGGGTTAGGATGAGTGAGAAAAAGTCCCGTGCATTAAATGTGCAGTACTAATGTGCATTAAAACATTTTACTTCAGTAGATGCAAGCAGAAAATAAATACAAATTTTGGATCGATAAATAAAAAATTCTTTTATTAAAAATTGAACGGAAACGTTAATTTGTTTAAAATAATTGGCCTTGTAACTATTTAATTTTGACCCCAGGGGAGAATGATCATTCCACTGTCTTAATGTATTTTTGAAATTTTAATTGTAGACTGAATTGTTTAACATCCTTTTAAAAAAAGTTTTCTTTTTCAGAGCAGTAAGAAAAAAATAGTAATAAAATAAAANCCCAGTGGAGAATGATCATTCCACTGTCTTAATCTATTTTTGAAATTTTAATTGTAGACTGAATTGTTTAACATCCTTTTAAAAAAAGTTTTCTTTTTCAGAGCAGTAGGAAAAAAATAAAATAAAATAAAATAAAATAAAATAAAATAAAATAAAATAAAATAAAATTAAATAAAATAAAATTGTTTGGCATTGATTTTGTTGTGACGAATTATATATTATTATTTTTTCAATCTAAGAGCCACACCCAATACCTAACGTATATCTTATTTTAATATCGCGTTAAGTATTTTAATTTAAAAATAAATTACCCTAAAAACCGAAGCGGAAAGATTAAAACTTCATAACTTCAAAAAGAGCCCAGAGAAAGGTAATAGTTGAAGCAAATGTCTAGTGCGCTCAAAAATAGGCACCCCCCATTCTCAAGACTTGCCAGACGTGAAAAAGGAAAAAAAGTGATTTGAAACGAAAATATGTAAATACCAACGAAAAATGAAAAATAAAAGTGAAAAACAAGAACTAAAAAAACTTTGGTAGACGGGAGTGAAACCGAGAATAAATAACTGGCCAATACAAACTTGGTAACATAGGACAAACCAGACATGCTTTAAAATTTAGAGTTAAAGAACTTGGGTGACGAATCTGATATAAAAAAAGCGATAAATCATCTATTGCCCAAACATTCTTTAAATCTTGGGGATAAATTCACTTTCAATAATGCCATTTTTTTTACCACCCCTTTGTCATAAGCTCATCTTGATGCCCGAGAATTTTGTTTTACTCATAATGAAAGCAAATTTCCTTG